AGGAAGTTCCTTATTCTCATTTATATGCATATTTAGTGGACTCAATTTTATATTTTGAATGTTTTCTTGCTATAAACTTAGTTGTTTTGTTTCCCTTAAAACTTTCTGATCAAACTGAATCTACCGAAACAATCTGTTCATTTTTCTTTTGAAGAGGAAACGAACGACGATTCGTTTTCATTTCTTTTGGTTTCGAGAAAGATGAAATGAGCCGAAAGAAAATCAACCCCATCCAGAAAAAATAAAAAAAGCAAGACAACAGAAAGTTCTCAACATTTTTCTAGCCAAAGTTATACGGAGAAAACAATGGCATAAAGACCTGAATTTATACAAAACAAATTTGCATTCCTTTCACCATGGTCAATATTTATTTAGGGGTTTTTGAACATTAGTCCTTGCAAAAGATTAAAATTTAAAAAAAAACCTGATGCTAGATTAAATATTCAATTTAATCCCTTGAGTGTACTTTTATCAAAATTTACATTCAATTTTTCTTATTTAATGTGTATTTTTATTTAATCTCTCCATATTAAATTTTAATTTTATTAATATGCACATATTTAATTTTTTTAATTAGAAATGAATGTAAATGAGAAAATATTATAAAAAAAATGTGATACAAAAATATATAGATACACAAGTGTACAGAAATGATTGTGCCAAAATATATAAAATTGACTTTTTTTGTACCAAAATATTTGTACCTATATGATTGTACCGAAATAGATTATAATGAACCTAAATGTATGTACTGAAATGTATTATATTGAATTAATGTACCTAAATGTCAATACCAAAATGTATGTACCAAAATGTGAGAACCTACCAAAAATGTATGTACCTAAATATCAATACCAAAATGTATGTACCTAAATGTATTTACCGAAATAATAATTGAATTAATGTACCTAAAAGTCAATACTCAAATGTGTGTATCAAAGTGTACGTAACGAAATGCATTATATTGAATCAATGTAACTACATGTTTGTACCGATAGATATACTAAAATATTCAAATGTATTAATGTACCTAAATGAAGAACATACAAAATTATTATCGGAATATATATTATAAAAAATTTAGTTACCTAAATGTAGACATTAAAATATATTATGATGAATGAAATAAAAATTAAATTTAAATGTAATTAATACATTAAAATAAAAATAAAAAGATAAAATAAAACATCAAAATACAACTAATAACTGATATGATTAAATGTGCTAGGGACTAAAATTGGATTTTAATCTTACATATGGTTATAATCTAAAACTCATCTTTTTTAGGGATTAAAATGAAGTTTTCTAATTTATTTATTTGTTTTAGTGAACCTCGACGGTAAAGGGGAGCATAATTTATTCATTAATTAATTGATAATCAAGGGGAGGGCTTAATAACTGGCCCCAAGTACATTTGTGTTCCAAAAGCAAATTTAGAATAATGTCAGGTGGCTCTTCGAATCATTGAAAATAACTCGCACAACCCAAAGAAAATCTAGCCAAACGATGAGCTACACCGTTGGCCTCCCGAGGAACGTATCCACAGTAATATTACCAGGAACTCTCCTCAACAAACATTTCACATCGTCAACAACTCGTCCCAAAAGAGAATTATCCTCTCTAAGAGCTTGAATGGCATTAACCACACCCAAAGAATCTCGGTCGCAACAGAGCTGCGTAGATCCCAAATGAACAGAAAATTAAAGACACTCCTTCACCTTGCCTTTGCAGCAACAAACTTGCCATACTCATCACGTAACACTATTCCCACCCCACCAAAAATCAGCTGCCGTCGCACCATCTACATTAACCTTCATCTCCCCGTTTGGAGGAAAACAGCATGCCACTCTCTCACGTCATGGCTTGCTGCTTTGCTTGATACTCTTTTTCATTTTTTTTTATATTTTTTTTTGGTTCTGCTCTCCAATATTCGCATCGCATCAACCAATCCTTCAAAGAACAATCGACAGCTTCTCGATATCGTATTCTAAAGGGGTTATGAACCAAACTGCCGCGGCTAGAGGACATGTCACGGAAACATGTAAAACTGACTGTTCCACTCCTACGTAAGCACAACACGCAGTTCGCACAGGGGAGACCGGCTGAGAAACAAAAAAATAAAATAAAACTCACACTTTCAAGCCATTTCTTTCCTGAACTTGTAGGGTTCAAGACAAAAAAACAAGAGAGAGAACGTTGGGGTTATAGGGGTTCACGTGAACTCAATGACTTCAGTGTGGCTCCGCTACTGGTTTAAAGGGAATAAAATGGGACGAACGTTTAGGAATCAATGCTCACAGACTTTCAGTTCAGAAAGTGAAAGCTCCAATTAGACTAAAATTCAGACATCATTACTCTAATTGTTTCTACAAATTTATATTCCCTTCTTAACAAACGATATAATCTACACGAGTAATGCTAAGAAGATTAAATTTGTAAATAAAATTTTGTAAACTAAATGACATAGAAGTTGATAATTGAGTTATTACTTAAGCGTTGATAAACGTACTTATTTCCTATTGGTGACACAACATTTAGTTTACAAATTTAGTCTCCCTAACATTACTCTGTACACTAAAGGATGAGAGAGTGAGCAAAGTCTCACAATGAGTTATCAATAATATAGTTCAAATTCGCATTTGGCGAAAATCGAATCTAAAACCTCTCACTTACCAATGAAGAGTTATACCACTAAACCGTAGTACTAAATGACTATATATTTTTATTTTTAAAGAAAATAAAAACATTAAGTATACTTTGGTTGGCGACTCTCAAATTTCACTCACCGTTTTTAGGACCGTGTGACAAATGAAAATGACTAAACTAGACATTATGAACTCCAAAGGCCTCCATTGGCTTTTTGCAAAATATAAAAAGAAAGTCATAGACAAATCTCTACATTAAATAATTAAATACTACCTTCACTAGTCACAAGTAGTGACTAGTGGCAAGCAAATCAACTTCTCTGGATATTTTTAAATATGAGCATATATAAGGTATTACGTTCCACAATTTCTAATTTTTGTTTCTTTCTATATTTATCTTTGAGAAATTTTAGGGCTATCTGAATATTGTTATTGTTCTATTTATTGGTATAAAAAATTGTTATTTGCACTTTATGCAGCTATTTTTTTCTTTATTTTTTCTACCAAGTAGTGCATTATAACTTGTTTGGAATGTCAATAACACCTCACATTATTGTGGTAGCAAAAATCTATTGTCTCCGGTATTGACGAATTTGTATATAAAAAACAAATAAACACATTTGATCAAAGACCAAAGTCATGCACCCAAAGAGCTGGGTTGGTGGGGGTGGGGATGGGGGTAGATAATGGATCTCTGATGCCTATGTTAGTTTCTCTGAAAATAGGGAGAATTTAGAGCTTAATTGCATAACAAAAGCTTAGCCAAATTTGGTGGAGAATGAGGAGAGAGATTCTCGCGCTATGTGTCATCATCCAGTTGGCCAAGATGACATTCGTAATATGGAGGAGGAAAGAAGTATCCCGAAGATATTATTACTTAAATAATATATTGGCATTATCTTGTAATATCCTTGATTGGATGTAATTGTGATTTTTTACTTGATTAAGTTGATCTTCAATTAGGAAAGCGTGAATATAAGATTTAGTAATTAATCATATTTTTAGGGAAGTGTTATTGGCACTCTAAAAATTTCATTCTACACTCCTCATAAGGGTATTTTTCTTTCTAAATATAGAAAGTTTGGAGTGTAGAATGAGGAATTTGGAGTGCCAATAACAATTTCCTATTTCTAATACTTATGAATTTTCTCCTTGTTATGAGCAAGAGAGCTTGATGAGGTCATAGTCATCTGCTCAAGTGTTTAAGAGAGTTGAAATGGCCATGAAACAAATGTGGGTCTCGCTAATTTAATGAGGGCATTCTTATCATTCTCATATAAAAGCTCTCGTGTCAACTTAAAACAAAAATTGGATTTTTTTTGCTCCCCAATTATCAATTGTGAAATTACACTTTAATGGATTGGTGATTAACAAAGGTTTCAAATTGTCAATTCTACCCTTTTATGTTTTATAAATAGGTTATGTTTATTTATCTTATTACTCTTCACTAGGCGCCGATCTAGGCTTGCGACGTTTTAGGCTCTCAAGTTTTGATTGATTTAAGACGGGGCAATCTGATTTGAGACTTGCAAATCCGATTTGTGACAGACAGAGTAGAGCGACATTAGTGAGTGCATCTTGATTTTTCTATTAGGTAATGCATGATGATTTTCTTGGGTGTCAATATCAACTCTCATTATCAATTGTCAAATTACACTTTTATGAATTGTTGATACTTCTCAAATTATCAAGTATATCCTTCTCTATTAAATTGCATTTGTTTATCTCATTGGACTCTTCACTAGGTAATTTAGGCTCAGGGCGATCTAGGCTTGTGGCGTTTTGGGCTATCGAATTTTGATCTGATCTGAGACGGGTCAATCTTATCTAAGACAGTCAAATCGTATCTGTGACATGCGGATCTAAGCAACATCAACATTAGTAGTGCTTGTTGAGAAATAAGGTATAATGGCTTCCTGTCATTGTTCATTTCGATATATCTTGAGTCTAAATTGGTTATGACAATTCATTCTGAATTTGTCGTGCGAATTAGTTGTGTCTCATTTTAAAGTTATAGTTTTAATTATGATTCAATGGTGTTGATGTTTTGTTTATCCAAGCATGACTTTTATGTTCCATATGTGCCTTGGCCCTTTGTGAGTTGTAACACCTTATTGTCTAGATGATGTAGAGTACCTTGCTTTCTTGTATTTTTATTGGCCTGATTAAAATTAATGAGCAATTACCATTTGATAAAACATACCACTCTCGTAAGTTTAATTCTCAAATTCTAGACCCTCCTCTACTGGTGTTTGTAAGTCAAAATTCTGTACCTCTCCTCTTTGTTAATTGAATTTGTTTATCCGGTTGAGTCAGATTATTACATTTTCGATTTTGTTTGACTGAGTAGGACTAATGGAGACACCGAGGACTAAAAGGATGAGGCACTGCAGCAACAGCAACAGAAACGTGATGGACCTGGACAACGATAACCTGGTCGACATTTTCTCTAGACTGCCGGCGGAATCAGTTTGTTCCGTGGGATGTGTCTCGAAAGCCTTGCACAACATAGTCAGCCGCCCCTCGTTTCTTAACCAGCACATGAGTTCTCTTGTTACTACCAACGCTGCTGCTGAAGTACCTCAACTTGTAATTGTTTCTCAGTCCAAAAAAAAGTACATGGCGGAGCTAATTGCCATGCAATCATTTGAATACGATGGCAATACTTTGGAAATGAGAAGAGATAAGACGAGGATTGTCTCAAAGATCATGTCTTGGTGGTACGAATATTTTTTCAATGTACATTTTGTTTTCTGCAACTTGATTTGCTTGAAAGACAGACACACTGGAAGCCGGTGCGTGTTGTTAAATCCGTTGAAGGGCGAAGCTGTGATGCTCCCGACTTGTATCGTCCAAGTTCCGGAACATCTAAAAACAACAGTATTCTCTTATTATTGGTTTGGTATGGGATTTGACAACACGACTAGTACACACAAAGTTGTTCAGGTTTGTGCGGATTCGGAGTACAACTATTGTGTTGCTCATGTTTATGTGTTGGGCACAAGATCATGGAGAGAGATCTGCTCGGTTCCTCCCTGTGATTTAACGGTCAAGAATTTATCAGCATATGGCGATATGCACTGGTTAATTCGTCGCGCAACAACTGGAAGAGCTCAAGCAAATATTCGCCACTGCATGAGTATACTGTCTTTCGATTTCAAGAAAGAGGAGTTCGGTTGGAATATTCCTGATCCCCCCTTAAGAAACATGCCGCGTAAGTTCCACTCTGTCCAGCGCTTTCACTTGATTAATCTGAGAGGATCTTTGTCCGTCGTTGATGCTTCATCAGATAAATACCTTGACATATGGATGTTGAAAAACTATGATGAAAAAGAGTGGGTCTTAGGTCACAGAATAGAAGCCAGAATGATTAATGCAGAATGTCGGTATAGAAGTTATAGGCTTTGGACTTGTTACGAATGGGGGCATGGGATATTTTTCAAACGTTCGAGAAAGAGCAACAGCACTGTAGTCCTTTTGGATCTAAGAACTGTTTGCATACATCGAGTAAAATGTCCGATATACCAAAAGGGGTTGTATACAAGCATCTTTAGTTATACCAGTAGCTTGATTTCCCTGAAAAGTTATGGGAATTTGATTCCGCTAAAACGTTATGGGAAGCCAACTGAAGCAGAAGAAAGTCGTCGCAGTGGTTCCCTTATGAACATTTGGCATTTATGTAACTGAAGCACAAGGCAAGACTCTAGTTTTCCACCAGTTTGATAGAGGAAGTTGCTTTGGTTATTATTTCAATGTTTAGTTAATTGTATTTCTTTTTTTGAATGTTTGATTTCTTGCTAGACTCTTCGGTACCTTCGAATTTATGTGATCAAACTGAATATATCAAACAACCTTGTAAGCTGTTCATCCATCTTTTCTTAAATTTCAAACGAAGATCTTGGCTTAGCTCTCGCTGATCACTCCATTTTCTTTCGAAGTTGAAGCAAATGAAGACTCGTTATATTTTTTTCGATTCCAAGAAAGATGAACCAAGCTTAAAGAAAATCAGCCAAATCTGGGAAAATAATGTAAGCAAGATACCGGAAAAGTTATATGTATACGACGGCTTTATATACACAGACAGCTTTTTAATGCTTTTGCTTGCAGGAAAATATGCAAGAGTGCTTTTGGCATGCAAATTTGCCTTCTGTAAAATAGTATTCAAATTCCAGAGCTCCCCAATTGTATCAGAATCATTCTACCTGAGGAGCTTTCCCTCTCCAGGGTTTCACTATTTGAAATGAGCAAAGCAAACTTGCATCCACACTCATCAATGCACCTGCATTGTTGAACTCTCCGCAATAGTTTGGCGCCGAGAATATGGTCACCAACTGCCGTTCTGCAAAGAACTCATATCCATCTTCGACAACCTGTCAACAAGGGATTAAATCAAAGGAGATTCAAATGACAGAGAAAAAGGTTTGCAGAAGGATAAAAAGGGAACCGCAGAAATCATTTCCATAAAATAATTCTTGAAAACTTGATATTCTTCTTTCCTATCACCGGTTGCATACAATCAAGCGGCGTAACTCTCATTATGTGACCTAAAACATGTTGGGACATAATTGTATACAACCGGTGAACTTTAAAAAATATAAAAAAGGGAAAGACAGAGACCTGGTGAGCCCGGCATATGAGATCCATATCATGTTTCATCAAGAACTCTGCAACCTTATCTGCCCCAAAGGTATAAGAAACACCCCTATCATTCTCACCCCACCCTTTAATGTCCCTGTCCGGATCCGACCAAAGTAGGTCACACAAAAGCCCTTGATCCGGCACGTCAACCGGCCTTTCGATGGCTCTGAGTTGTTCCAAGCTGTTCAATTCAGGAGACAGGCCACCATGCATGCAGAAGATCTTGTCATCTATGACTGCAGCCACAGGTAAACAATTAAAGCAGTCTGTGAAGAGCTTCCATAGCCGGACGCTGAAGCGGCGTTTACACTCATCGTAGAATCCATAGATTCGGTTGATGGAAGCACATTCGTGGTTCCCTCGGAGGAGGAAAAAGTTGTCCGGGAATTTGACTTTGTACGCAAGGAGAAGGCATATTGTCTCTATGCTTTGTTTTCCTCTGTCTACATAGTCTCCAAGGAACACATAGTTGGCGTCAGGTGGGAAGCCTCCATACTCGAATAAGCGCAAGAGGTCCGGATATTGCCCGTGTATATCACCTGCAAAATCCCCCAACGTGATCAATAAATGTTGTACAAATATCAGCGTTCTGTAATATGATCTCTCGTTGCTTGCATTACAAGTTTACATATTACCAGATCATCAACAAACAAATAATGCAAGCCGGAATCATAAACATTTTACATACCGCAAACGTTGATGGGGGCTTCCAATTCGAGAAGATTAGGCTGCCGGAGGAAGACTTCTTTGGCAGTGATGCAAAGTTGTCGGATTTCGGATTCGGTTAGCTGAATCTTTTTACCTCTGTTAACCCTGCCTTCCAACAGTCTCTGTATCAGCGCATCCAATCCTTCCATCCCCCACTGCCCTATCTTTTTCCCTATTTTGTTTTAAGATTTGATCCTACAGTTTCTAAACAATAATTATGTATTAATTTTAAATAAAAAGGAAAAAAATAAGGGAAAAACAGAGAAGGTGATTCAACAAATGAAGAAAAATGATGAGAAACAAAGTAGGGAGAGAGAGAGAGAGAGAGAGAGAGAGAGAGAGAGAGAGAGAGAATCGGTGGAGTGAGTTTATATTTGGTGGGAAATTTTGATGTGGTTTTTTGGTCAGAGGATTTGAGGGACTTGTTCTGTTTGGAGGTTTGTGAGTTGTGAAATAAACCTTAATTTTATGGAGGGGTTCAAATGTTGCCAACCAATTAGGACCAGAAAATAAGCACCCCACAACCTTTCCCCGACTTAGATGGGCTGTTTTTTCCATGGAGAATGGATAATTAGGCTGTAAATGATCTTGATAATGAGACCGATCATAACCAAATTGACTACCTTCTTGTTTAGTTTGGTCAGTACGACAAGCAGAAAATTCTAGCATGATGGTAACATTGTCACCCAACAATATCTATATATCAATATACACCTTAGGTTTATGAAATATCAAATTTGTCGTCCTTTAAGACATCAGACATGGATTAGTTAGCCTGGTATGATCGTCACTTAAATTTTTTCCCATAAATGATGTTTTCCATAGTATTAATTTTCTTAGGTCAAAAACCAAATCACTTGGTTAAAACTATTAATAGGATATCCAAAGTGTTGGCGTGAGTTAACAATAATACAATAGGAATGTAATTGTGTTTTCTACTTTGGGTATAACTCTCCTTTTATATCTTTAATATTCCTTGTAGTACAAGAATTGAGTATGTATATATATGTGTTGCTTCCTATGAGAGAAGAATATAAAGAAATATATTGAAACCCTAAAATTAATTTTATATTGGCATCAGAGTATGTTTCCGCTGATCCCTCATATTCATTCACTGCCGACTTGGGATTTAATTGTTGGCTGCCTAATAGCCATATGTAACCAAAAACCACATCCAAGCCCAAGGTTTCGAAGCAAGAAACCTTCCCTCAATCCTAATCTAGAAAAATCTTTTCCAAAATAAATAAAAAATCTAGAAATCAACCACCAAGTTCCAAGGTTTCGTAGCAAGAAACCTTCACGTGTAATCTCAATCCCCAAAAAAAAAATAAATAAATAAACAAAGTCATGGAAAATTTAAACAACGCCGCTTCCATGGTTGAACAAGTTTCTTTTCTCATTGGGGGATCACTTGTCTCCAGCAAGCCTTGCAGCAAATCTCCGTGCCAGCGGGATGGGCTGGCTTGGTTTAAAGCCCAAGGTGAAATAGGCCAGCTTGCAGAGAGCACATGCACAGGTGCTGGGCCATTCGCTGACATCAACAGTTACAACATTCATGTGGGCTCGCAGAGCCCATCAGCAGACAACTTGGACACCGATTTGGACCTAGATAATTTGGGCCAGCAGCTGTCACTATTAAACTTTATGTCGTCCCAAGAGCAATCCGATGATCCAGGCAACACAGGCACTATTTTAATGGCATATGTTAATTTTGATACAAGTTGGATTATTGATTCTGGAGCCACTGATCATATGACTTGTGATCGTACTTTATTTAGCTCTACAACACCACCACCACGGGATAGTATTGTCACTGCTAATGGAGGTGTTGCTTAGGTTACAAGGGTGGGTTCGATAGCACTCACTCCTACTCTCTCCTTACATAATTGCTTACTTGTTCCCGCACTTTCTAGCGACTTATTATCTGTGGGACAAGTTACTGAGCAATTAAATTGTGTTGTGCAACTTCAAGATATTCAGACTCAAAAAGTCATTGGGCGTGGTACTAAGAGGATAGGGTTGTACTATGTTTATGAAATTATACAAAGTCGTGTTCATAAAGTTCAAGGTCGTGATAGTGGAAAGTTGAAGACTATTCAGTTGTGGCATTGTCGTCTTGGTCATGCTTCCTTCGGTTATTTGCGAAAATTACTTCCATCATTATTTGGTAATATTTCAGATTCTTTCACCGACAAAATCAAGGAAAACCACCAGACAAGTACTCTCCAGAAGGAAAGGTGCGGTATTCCATTTCAAACTATGTCTTTACTCATCAACTTTCACTGAAATACTGTGCATTTGTTCAGCAAATGGAAACCATCAAAATACCCACCAGAGTGGAGGAAGCTTTGAAATATTCGAAATGGATAGAAGCAATGCAAGTTGAAATGGAAGCACTACAAAATAATAATACATGGAGTGTGGTCCCACTTCCCAAAGGAAAGAAATCAGTGGGGTGTAAGTGGGTGTTCACCATTAAATATAAGGCAAATGTTTTACCCAAATCTTTGGGGTTGATTATCAGGAGACTTTTGCTCCTGTTGCAAAGATGAATATCACTAGAGTTTTATTTTCTCTTGTTGTGTACTATGACTGGCCTCTGAGACATTTTGATGTTAAAAATGTTTTTTCTGCATGGTGATTTAGAGGAAGATGTGTATATGGATACTCCACCAGGTTATGGCGCTGCGAACTCTAGTGGGAAAGTGTGTAGACTTTGAAAGGCACTGTATGGCCTTAAACAATCACTCAGAGCATGGTTTGGGCGGTTCACCCAGGCAATGAAGAAGTATGTGTATCGAGAGGGAAACGCATACCATACATTGTTCATCAAATGCAAGGATGGCAAGGTAACTCTGCTTATCATATATGTAGATGATATGATTGTCACAGGTGATGATACAACGGAAATCGAACGTCTGCAAAGGCATTTGTCTTCTGAGTTTGAGATGAAAGATCTTGGAGGACTTAAATACTTCTTGGGAATTGAAGTGGCTAGGTCTCAGGAAGGAATATACTTATCTCAGAAGAAGTATGTATTGGATCTTTTGTTTGAAACTTGTATGTTAGGGTGTAAACCAGTGGATACACCTATTGTGCTTTCATCTAGTAATTTATCAGGATCAAGTCCCAGTGAATAGGAAACGGTATCAAAGATTGGTAGGGCAATTGATTTATTTGTCGGTTACAAGGTCAGATATTACTTACGCAGTAAGTGTGGTGAGTCAATTTATGCATGCTTCTAGTAAGGATCATATGACAGCAGTAATGAGGATTGTGAGTTACTTAAAAGGAGCTCCAGGAAAAGGGTTGATATATAGAAAGCATGGGCATATATAGGTGAAATGGTATACCGATGCAGATTGGGATAGAAATATCACTGATCGGCGTTCTACGTCAGGATACTTCACATTTGTAGTTGGTAATCTTGTGACATGGAGAAGTAAAAAGCAAGATGTGGTAGCAAGGTCTTCCACCAAGGCTGAGTACAGAGGTATGGCACATGGTATTTGTTAGCTTCTATGGCTTCGGATTCTACTCACTGAGATAGGGTTTAAACCAAAAGGTTCTATGTTGTTGTACTGTGATAATCAAGCAGCATGGGATATAGCTAACAATCCGGTGCAGCATGATAGGACCAAACATGTTGAGGTGGATAGACATTTTATCAAAGAAAAGTTGGATGTTAAGTTGGTTGATGACATTTTATCAAAGAAAAGTTGGATGTTAAGTTGGTTGACATTCCGTACGTGAAGACAGAAGAACAGTTGGCAGATATTCTAACTCATGCAGTTTCTGCAAAAAGGTTTCAAGACTCACTCGACAAGTTAGGCCTAGGTGATATCTATGCACCAACTTGAGGAGGAGTGTTGGCGTAAGTCAACAATAATATAATAGGAATGTAATTGTGTTTCCTAGTTTGGGTATAACTCTCCTTTTATGTCTTTAATATTCCGTGTAGTACAAGGATTGAGTATGTATATATATGTATTGCCTCCTATGAGAGAAGAATATAGAGAAATATATTGAAACCCTCAAATTAGTTTTATCTACCTAATCACATGGTTAACATTATTAATAGGGTGTCCAAAGAACCTAATCATCTATGATTTTACCAGTTTGTCGGCCCCCAATTATAAGTTGTTGTTGATCACGACTTACAGGAACTAGGCTATCTACCTCTTTTAACCTCGTTTTCACATTCAATAATTCCAGGGGCATTCACTACACATCTCACTGGTGATCGCTTTTAGAGCCCCTCTTTTCAATGTTTCAGCAATACAAAGAACGATTCTTGAATCGATAAAGGAGATTCATAAACAGGAATTTCCATTTTTATATCTTCTTCGCTATCGTCAACCGCAGTTGCGAATTTGATTGATTAGCATTACTCAAATAACAATACTTAAAAACGATAATTTGTCTAACAAGGATAACCACACTGTGATTTACAGGGATGCAAACATCATACGATAATTTCGAATCACCAAGATGATGACGGCTGACTTCCCCCGACAACAGTTGAAAAACGGCAAGGCAGCACTGAATTCATCTCTTCCTAGGTTTGAGAAAGCACTTCATAGCATCTTTGTGTTCATAAGTGAAACTTCAGAACTGAGACTTGTCGAGGGTGTCGAAATAGGGGTGGTCAAGGGCAGCTTTCGCGGAGATTCGCTCAGCTGGATCGTATTTAAGCATTTTCTGCATAGTCCAAAAGCAAGACAGTATTAGACTGATCCAATGACGACACATTTTGTTGAACAACTTAACCGTTACAAGTTTACGGTACTCATTCATCACAAGACTTGAAAACAATCTGTCGCGTATGGACCAGACAACCAATTACACAACAAAGCTACACGTTGATTCAAGCTCCACGATTTCTAATTGATGTTGAAAAATGAAAATAACCTTCGAGAACACCATGTTCTTGAAAAGAAATCAGAGTTAAGAAATGAGATTAAGCATTCCAAGAAACTTATATGATGCATAGATGGATGCTGGCTAAGTTCTTGAAGAATGCTGTTGAGAAGACTAAACACATCGTTGGTTTCTAAGCGACAAGTTAATCGAAGCATGGAATGATCGAAGAAACTTACGGCTAGGAGGTCAACTCCTTCAGGCTCCAAAGCAGGAACAGCGCGAGCCAAGTTCTGAGGCTCCCACTGCGGATACACGTGCCAATCTCGCAGAGAAGAAACTCCTGGCCACTGCTTGTCAGATGGTGTTCCTAGCAGCCTACACATATAGTAAAACAGTAGCAAGTAAAGATTTGATCTTTTTCTTCTTCACAATCCCAAAAATTGGATTCGAGAAACGCGAAAAATGAGGGGAAACATAACACAAACACCTGAAAATGTGAAGCAACTGCTGGAACTCAGAATCTCCCGGAAAAAGAGCCTGCCTCCTCGCCATCTCCGCTGCAATTTAGCATAATCGATCAAATTAGTTAACCAATTAATCAATTAAAGCATTGAATCGAAATGAAATTGAAGAATTCGTGAGAGGGAGTAAGAAAGGAGTACCGAAGATGCATCCTACGGACCACATATCAACGCCGGTGGAGTAGTGAGCCGAACCGAGCAGAACCTCGGGCGCTCTGTACCAGAGAGTAACAATTTCGTGCGTGTAGCTCTTGAGAGGCACAGTGAATGCGCGGCCGAGTCCGAGATCAGCGATCTTCAGAATCCCCCTTTCCTTGTCAAGAAGCAGATTCTGCGGCTTCAGATCGCGGTGGAGGACGCCGTGGGAGTGGCAGTGCGCAACCCCCTTGCACAGCTGGTACATAAAGCTCTGCACCAGCGACGGTGGCATCGGCCCAGGATTCGGCCCCTTTCTGTGTGAATCGATGAACTTCTTGAGATCGGTGTCCAAATACTCGAACACCAAGTAGACGGGTTCCCCCTTCTTCGCTTTCGACGCTTCGAGCAATCGACAATGCGGTGGCCTTTCGCGACTGCAGCGGAGAATGGAGCATCTGGAGGAGCGCGACGTGCGCACGCCACGCCCCATCGTCCGGGAAAAAAAAGCGCACCAACAATCGGTGGGCTTTAACGCCTTTATAGCCTGCCAGCTGCCTTCGCCTTCGCGACTTCTCCATTCTTGAGAGATCTAAGAAACCCAAAAAATTTGTTATTCTCGTTTTCTCCGGACCCCAACAACGGAAAGTAAAGAGGGCCAACATTGTTGTTAGAAATTTGAATTCGCTTGCCTCCTCGTCTTTCAATGTTTTACTATATTGACTTTTTATCTTTTATTTTTTGGAAAAAAAAGAGATGAGTCGACTTCACTACGTTAGTTTACCATTCCGAGGACCGAAGACTCACAAAGGCCCTGGCCACCATCATGGCAGTAACCAACATAAGGATCAAACCCAATACTTATGGTGTAATTATTTATTTTCCAATTAGGCTCTCGTAGTGGTTGAAAATATATTGATATTTTGATTACCAAAACGTGGATTAACATTCACGGGTTTTAGTCGATTTTAAAAATTCGTACTTAAATCATTGTTTAATCTATTATTTTCACCTTCCAAGTATGAAAATTAATGTAAGAGTTTCCGTTGTTATTCTTGAGCGTAGAACCCCATCTTGACATTGTTGTGGGTCTCACTACTATATTTTTCACTTTATTTAAGTTTTTGGCTTAAATATTATGTTATAATAAATTTATTGCACCCCCAAACCTTATAACGTTTCCCTCCAACTAAACCATGCCAATTAACCCCCCCAACACTCTCCAACCCATGCTAAAATTTGGCTTAAATGCCAATTCTATTTCTGGCCAAATACCCCCAGCTTTCCCTCCGGGCTAAATGCGAAATGTTTATCGGAATTAAATTTTTTTATATTAAAAATGTTCATAAATTAATTTACAATAATCTAATATTTTTTTTAAAAAAATTGATTAAGAAAAAAATTTAGGCTAAATTAGGCTTTAATCCGGGCTAAAAATTTTAGGGTAGAAGGGTTGGAGCATAAAAGATTGTTTTCTAGGCTAAAAGTTAAATTTTCCGGACTAAAAAATTTGGCTTTTAGCCCAAGGGTTGGAGATGGTCTAATGCTCACAAAAACTATTATGAGAATTTTTTTTTTGCATTTTTTACAAAAATACATGAGTGTTGCTCACAGATTTCAGCTGATTTTAAAAATTCGTATGCAATTTCCAAACAGAAGGTTCCCGCATCATCTTTTTTACCTTCCACTCTTTAAAAATTCATATGCAATTTCCGAGCAGACGGTGCCCACACCATCCTTTTTACCTTTCAGACGCTCCTTATTAATTATTATCTTTGCTCCGTTCAATTCTTTTAATTCGACAACCAAAGATTAAGAAAGGTGTGTTAAGTTAAAAAGGACGTGTGGTTCGCATGCCTTTTGCAAATCTGCAGGAAGACAAAAAAATTATAAACCGAGACTTAAACCTTCAATCCGAATAACATTGTTCTTCATAAACTGATATTTCAAGACGACACAACCTCAACGGTAATTGAGAGTGCATTAAATAGCAAAAAATATTCCATTTTTTGTATCTTTCTTGTTCTGTCATTCTCCTGAGACAATGATCCAATTACCGTACTCGCCCACGGAAGCTGCTGTGAGCAGACATTGTTCGAACTTATTTAATAAAACAAACCGTAATCGACAACCCTCTTTCCAGGGCGTTCGTAAACCTATGTCAAAAGTTAGGAAAAACTAGAGTGCGTTCTTTTCTCTGGCCTTCCTAGTTATCAACAACTTCGATGAGGGATGGCTCGTAGTCGCTAGGAGCCTGGAATCCATGCAGGTTCATCACAGTTGCAGCAACATTGGCCAGCCCGCCGCTAGGAAGATCCTTGCGGAAACGGACTCCGGGTGCAAGTCCAGGACCTCCAATTGCAATTGGGACCTTCAAGAAAAGCCAAAACAATCAATGACTGAAAACCTGTGGAATTCGACAATGCTCGATACTATGAATCTATGGTAAATCGACTGGCCACTCTTGTCGTTTGATATAAAAAATTTGACAGAAAAAATTTGGGAGTACTTACTGGCTGTAGAGTATGGGAAGTAAGAATTTGAATGTTGCCGCTCTTGTCGAGAAGAGGTTGCCCAGTCTTATTTCTCTTCACCATATCCTCAGCGTTACCATGATCAGCAGTGACGACGTAAATTCCACCAACCTTCTCGATTGCATCAAGAATTATCTGCGAGTACACAATAGCAACTCAGTAAGAAGACGTGAACTTTTTCACTACAGTGAGGGGTAAGAGGAATACAAGGCAACAAGCACCAGCTTTTTGATCATATCAAGCATTCATGGTATGCAACAGTACCTTGACGGCTTCATCAGCAGCCTTGCAAGCAACAATTGTGGCCTCAATGTCGCCTGTGTGCCCCACCATGTCGCCATTTGGAAGGTTAACACGTACCTAAGCAAAAGCAAAATATCAAATCTGAAATATTTTCTTTGGATTTAATAGAAATTCTTAGATCGCATGACTGGCCTATACATTACCTGCTCAAACTTTCCACTAAGAATAGCATCCCTAGCCTTTTCAGCAATCTCGACTGCCTTCATTTGCTTGGACGTAATGTTGATTCCACTATCGTTGGAAATTTCCACATCCACTCCTTCCATTTTATCGTTAAAATAACCAGAGCGATTGCCGTTCCAGAAGAAGGTGACATGGCCAAACTTAACAGTCTCACTGTGAAAGCAAAGATTTGGAAGCAAAGAACTTATGGATTGGAAACCAAAAATTCAACCATGAAAAGAAAATTCTGGGCAAATTGGTCGAAATCAATTATTCCCCCCCCCCCCCCCCCCGCCCCAGATATGGCATCGAGCAAAAACAATTTTGAACAAAGAACAAAGAAACACACTGGTTGCTACTTCCAACCCATATCTGGATTTCCCTAATACAAAGTCAAAATCTCATTATCCCACTAAAACTGACAAAAACGGACACCTTTACATGGAATGGGGAGAAATCCTAAAGAAATTCATTATGATTTGGAGAAAACACAATCCTAACGCTTGACAGCAACACAGATAGTTTAACTTGGTGAGAAAAACAAACCTGCAGGCAAAAGTGCGGACACCGTTATATGTAAGATATTCACCAGATGTTCTATCAATCTCTGGGGGTTCTACAAGGTAATGGCTTGGAAGCTTCAGCTCACCATCATACTGAAGCATACCAGCATAACGGATTTTTGGGACTCGAACTCGATCAAACTTGTCAAAATCGGCATACTCAAGCGCCTTGGCAATCATAACCATACGGTCCGCACGGAAGTTGAATGTAACAACAGCATCACCATCCACGATTGGGCCAACAGGCTTTCCACTGTCGTCAACAATAACAAAAGGAGGTAGATACTGGTCATTGGCGTTTGGTTCCGCCCTCAACGTCTTGATAGCTTCAACTGCATTCTTAAATTTATAGGGAGCTTCACCAAGAACTTGGGCATCCCATCCTCGTTTTACAACACTCCAATCATTCTGCAAAATACCCAATCATTCATATGAACTAAACATTTTTGACAAATAGACAATAATATTGAACAGGCCAAATCTAAAATTTATTCATTCTGTTCCAGAGCAACAATTCAGATAAGTATTAACCATAAACACAAATCAATCTTATGATTCTTGGCATGGAAACTTTACCAAAATTTGGAAAGGCACGTAGTATGTTTGAATAAAAAAGCACGATAATTCTGGGAACATAAAAAAAACAAGCTAATGGAAACCCTAATAAACCCTTCTTAAGAGATTCAGAACACTTTGTAAATAGAGACTATTGACACATCCCAACTTAAGAAATAATGTTTTATTGATGCAATACGTGCAAAAGGTTTCGTAAAAAGGACGTACTTTAAACAAACTGTTATATACAATATACACACAACGGTAAAAAATACAGAAGGAAGAATTAGACCCAATCATGCTTGCAGAATGAGCGTAAGAGTTGGCTTCATTCAATACCTCATAACGATCCATGGTGACATACATACGACCACCACCAGACGCAATCTGTGCATCCACACCTTTCTCACGCAATTTCGCAAGGTCATTTTCAAGGATTTCTGCAAATCCCACACTTGAACCGTCCAGAACATCACGCCCATCAGTGAGAATATGAACACGGATCTTTTTAGCACCTTGTTCGCTAGCTCCTTTAAGCAACAACTACACCAGGAGAAAAGAATACATATGATAAAGGTGAAATTTGAAGGAGGAAAACCAAATCCAAAGAAAGAAAAAACAGACTAGTGCTAAAAAAACTCACTAGCAATTGATCAAGCCGAGAATGAACTCCACCATCACTCATTAAACCAATGAGATGCAATGTGTTAGTCTCAAAGGATTCCTTAACATACTTAAAACCTTCTCCCTCGAAAATTTTCCCAGAAGCAAGTGCAGCATCAACAAGCTTAGCACTATATCCATAAAAAAAAATTAAAAAAAACCCATGATTACTCATTACAACTCACTATGAATCCAATTCTCTTAACTGACATTCATAAAACATATCGAAAACCATACAGCGAATGTTAAAATGCATGAAATAAACATGTTGGAATAATGGTGTTGGATGACTAGTGAAATTAGGCTAGTCAACTTTCTTGTTCAAAGTTAGGCAAGTTAGGTTAGTCAAGCAAGATAGGTAAGTTAGGCAAAATTAGGCTTATGATCTTTTTCTTCCCTATATATATGTTTCATCTTGTAATTGTTTCATTAAGCAAATATACATCAAAATTCAATATGGTATCAGAGCTGTGATCTGGGAAAAACCAAAAACACAGCTCTAAAGCAGCCATTGAGGTCAACCATTCTAGGCATGGCTCTCATTCAAAAGGGAAAATCCAACCACTCCGCTCTTATCTCCCACCACTTGGATCAACCTGGTGCAATCCTCGTACCACAACCATTGGTGGAAGACAACTACAACACATGGCTTCAATCCATGAGTATGCCTTAACGGTCAGAACACAACTTGGTTTTGTTGATGGAACATCAAC